AATAGTGATGGCAAAGCCAATCATATGGTCAGATGCACCTAAGTCTATTACCCAACAATGTTCAATGTTACTTGGAGCTGAAGCATGATAAGCTGAGGCCCGAGTATCTTAATGAGCAAGAAAAGTTGACGTGAGAGGAGCTGATGGCGCCTGAGATGATTGAGCTGAATTACCAACTTCCTTTTCCAACTGAGTCAAGGCAGCCCAAAGAGCAGCTAGGGTGTCTAGAGGTGTGCCTTTTGTGCCCGATGAGCATTACCCCTTTTGTTCCTGAGTTTTGCTAGAACTAGATGAGGGTGCAGCTTCCAACAGGTGTCTTTAGTATGCTTAGGTTTCTTGCAATGTTCACATACTAGATCCCACTTGTCTTCCTTCTCTATATCCCTCTCCGTATCACCCCCAGACTTAGGTTTAACTACTACCGAGGCTGGTGGGAAAGGTTGATGCTACATCATAACCTTTCTCCTAGTCCCTTCACTATGCACTAAGTAGTAGGCTTGTGATAGGGTCACACTGTCTCTTGTCAGTAGTTGTTGTCTCACAATATTATACTCAGGACTCAAACAAACTAGGAACTCAAAAACCTTATTAGTTTTAACCTGCTTTCTATGAGTTTGTACATCCTTCTGACTTTCCCACTCAAGTGTTTCTAGGTAGTCAATTTCATGCCACAAAGATTTCAAGGTAGAAGTAAACCGAGACTGGTTTCTCTCCTTGCTAAAGGTTGTTAACCTCACATTTTAGCTCATAGGCCCTAGCAACATTATGGGGTTGGGAGTAGGTCTCTTTCATGACATCCCAGATTTCCTTACCTGTTTTTGCCCACAAATAGTTATGATTGATATGTGACTACATAGAGTTGTACAGCCATGTCATAACCAAATAGTTCTCCTGAACCCATTTGGTATAAGTTTGGTCCTTTTTAGTTGGTTCTTTCACATCTCCCAACAAGTAGCTCAGTTTTCCTCTACCCCCAATGACCACCATGGCCAATTGAATCCATTCTAAGTAGTTTGATCCATCAAACTTAACAGTTGTAATCTGAAAGGTATTCTCAGACATGTTACCAGAATTGCTAGTCCCCAAAACACCTTACCCTTGATTCTTGAACTCCATTCTTGATTAAAAAAAAAACCTTTTTTAACTACTGTAATAAGAGAAACAGCACCCAAACAACTGATAGCAGTCGGCCTAGGTCTTCTAAAGAACAAAAAACACAGTTCTGAATGAAACAAGTTAAAAAATTCTGATCTGAAACCAACAACAGTTCTGAATTTTAGGGTTTTCTCTCAAAACCCTAAAGAAAACACAGGGAAAAAGCAAAGATTTCCCAGCCGCACCTCTCAGAATAAACCAAGATGATCTTTTCTAAAGTCAATATCAAGAAAAAGGCTTGCTTTATGAAAAAATCTCTGGCTGCCACCTTCTAGCTGATGCAAAACCCTAATCTTGAGGATCCGAAGCTTCTTTTGATTCTTCCTAATCATTGGAACTCTTTCAGGCTTCTATAATCTCCTTAGTAGTAGTCGTACACTACCAGTAACCTCCAAGAATCAGCCAATCCACCTTCTCTATTGAAAAACTTCCAAACCTAGGAGGTTTTCATGCAGTCAGCCTAATTAGACTAGCATAAGAGCTCCTAGGTTGGCTCTGATACCAAGTAGTCGATCAAGACTACAATCAGTCTTGAATTTAAAAAGAAATAGATGCAAAATTTGAAGAGGAGAAGAAGAGAAGAAGTACACGAAGAGAATTTCAAAAAAAAGAGAGGGGGAGGGTCATAACATCTACCGACCCACTCTTAAGATTTATATAAATGTTGACTAATTGTAAAAGAGCTGAATTGCCCTTATTGCCTACATGGCAAAAAAATAAAAGAAAACTAATAATAAAACTGAAATAACTACAAACTAACACTGTCATAACTAACTGAAATAATGCTGCCATACAAACATAGTGGGGAACACATCAGTGGAGTCCACATCAGTGTTCTCTACATATACTAAGTCAAAAATTACAATCATGTCCCCATAAGGGCACCCAAAATACAAATAATAGGAAAAGACAACAATACACCTAAGCCAAATGCACATTCTCAACACTCCCCCTCAAGCTGAGCATAGATATCTATCATGCCCAACTTGCTCAAGCTTCTATCAAGTTTTGGCTTGTTGAGACCCTTAGTGAGGCAATCAGCAAGTTGGTTCTCTTACCTAACCAAATGCGCATTCTCAACACTCCTCCTCAAGCTGAGCATAGATATCTATCATGCCCAGCTCGCTTAAGCTTCTATCAAGTTTTGGCTTGTTCAGACCCTTAGTGAGGTAACCAGCAAGTTGGTTCTCTAACTTAACTAAAGGCACACATATTTCTCCATTAGCTATCTTTTCTATAATGAAGTATCTATTAACTTCAATATGCTTTGTGTGATCATGTTAAACAGGGTTATGAGCAATGTTTATGGCAACTTGATTATCACTGTGTAGAATCATTGGGGTTTCAGCTTGGATCCCAATCTCTGATAACAAAGACTTCAACCATAGCAACTCTGATACACCTAGGGGTGTCAATTGGACTAGATTTGGTCCAATCCAATCCAATCCAATGTAAGTCCATTACAATTGGACCTGGTCCAATCCAATCCAATGAATATTTTGGACCATTTTGGACCGGTCCAAAAACTGTCCAATCTGTTCAAATCCTTGTTAATTTAGATTTGTTTCAACTCAAATCTAGTCCATTGATACCTATGTTCTTATCTTCTATCAATGGACCAGATATTGGCTCAATCCAATATAAATTCATTATGGACAGACCAGGTCCAATCCAATATGGCGTATTGGTCCGTCTAGTCTGTCCAAATTCAATATGTCTTATTGGTCCGTCCAATCCATCCAAATAGGTTTTTATTTGGACGGAGTCCAACCAGAAACCGGTCCATTGACACCCGTAGATACACCATGAGCCATAGCTCTATATTCAGCTTCAGCACTAGATCGGGCAACAACAAATTGTTTTTTGCTTTTCCAAGACACAACATTACCTCCTCCCAATGTGAAGTAACCAGAGGTGGATCTTCTATCATCTATAGAACTTGCCCAATCAGCATCAGCATAAGCCTCGACCTTGAGATGTCCTTGGTTAGAGTATAACATTCCTTTACCTGGACACCCCTTTAGGTAGGCAAGAATCCAGTTGACAACGTGCATATGTGAAGTTATAGGACTGCATATACTGACTCACCATGCTAACAGCATAGGATATATCAAGTCGAGTCAAGCACAGGTAAAGAAGCAGACCAACAAGCCTCTAGTAGACACCCTTGTCTGGAAGAATATCTCCATCATCAACACTCAGTTTATGACTAGGGTCAATAGGAGTTTGAACTGGCTTACACCCCAGTTTCCCAACCTCGTAAAGGAGATCAAAGACATACTTCCTCTGTGAAATGAATACCCCTCCCTTTGACTTGCCACTTTGATTCCAAGAAAGTATCTAAGATTCCCAAGATCTTTGATTTCAAATTTAGAAGCAATAAATGACTTTAGTTGGTTTATCCCAGAGTGATCATCTCCAATGACAACAATATCATCCACCTACACTATCAACAAGGTGAGTAGGCCATTAACCCTTCTTATAAACAAAGTATGGTCTGCTTGTGATTGTGTAAACCCAATTCTAAGAAAAGCCTTCCTGAATCTATCAAACCAAGCTCTAGGGGACTGTTTAAGCCCATAAAGAGATTTTCTTAAATGACAAACCTTCCCCTCACTGTTAGGTAAGATTACCCCTGGTGGTAAATCCATGTATACCTCCTCCTATAGATCTCCATTTAGGAAGGCATTCTTCACATCCATCTGATATAGGCCATGAAAAATGAGCAACAAGAGACATTATAACTTTAGCAAGAAACTTTATAGAGGAATCAAAATCCTCCAATAAACAACACAAAATTAGGGCAGATCAAACTAAGGTTCCAAGGACTGATAACCAAGAAAAAAAAATACCCTAGGGCAGCACAAAACTAGGGTTCCAAGGACTGATAATAGTCGATTAAGACAATAGTGAAATGCACCAACCTGAAATGAGAAGTTTTCCAGATCAGCTTGAAGAGAGGACTTGATGCCTATTGAAGTTCCTCTGTCGAAGCAACCCAAAAAAAAAGGTTCAAAACTGTTGTTATTGAGGGAGGAAGAAGCTAGATTATTGAGATCCCTTAATTTGTAGCTGTTCAAAACTGAACCATAAGGAGCCAAGCTGCTGCCGCCCTGGAGAAATCAGTACACAGAAAGAGGAAAACATTTGCTGCCACCCAGGAGAGAAAACCAAAACTCCTCCAAGACTTGTCAGTTCCCACTGATATTCTGAGTGAAAAAAAAAAAGGATTTGGGCAACACAGCCAATCAGAAATCCTTCCAGATAGAAGCCTCCAAGAGGAACTAGGGTTAGGATTGAAGAGAACAGCCCTAACACCAGTCAAAACACCCTGAGAACAAAAACCCCTAATATGCCCAACGAATGAGCAAAAAAAAAGCAGAGATTATAGAGCAGTCTAATCTGATACTATGTCAACAAACCCAGAGCAGAATATAGAATTTTGGGGATGAAGAATGGATGATTCGACCCTACCCCAAGGGTCCTTTATATAGAAAATGAAATTAAAGAAATTACGAGGCCCTTGTAGGGCAACAAAAATTAGAGAATTTACAAAGAGGCCCTTACAAGGTTGAAGAGAAAATAATAATAAAATAAGAGAAACAATACAATAAGAACTACAATAAAATGGTACATCAGGGAGTTTCTTCACAAATACAAGTAATATAAACAATGAAATCATAATAGCAAAGAAAAAGTTAACCATTCAGAATGTTCTTCACATGCAAATGCCAATCTAAATTACAAGCATTCTAAACAACCCAAAAGTATCAACAAATAGATTATACATTTCCTCATGGAAAAGAAACAATCTGAACATAATGAATGATCATGATCAGCAATACCTTCTTAAGAACTCCCAAATCCTCACTGATGACCTGGAAAAGTACCACATAAAGAAATGAAAATAAATAATAATAATAATAATAATAATAATAATAGAAATGCTGGACTAATAACTGAATCTTAACATAAATGTAAGGTCCCATTGGTCATGAACAATTTCAAGATAACTTAAGAAAAGTTATGTCAAAAATGCTGCAAGTGATGGTCTGGCTTATCCTTAAACCATTCATTTCCATTATTAAGTATCTCTCAATCACAACACTTACCTAAAGCTCATAAAGCATTAATTGTTTCAAGTGTAAAATCTAAATGCCTATACATAAGTACACCCAAGCTGAGGTTGGGATGGAGCATATGCACCAATTGCACAAGCTTGTCTTGTGGCTAGCTTCTTTTCCCTTTTCTGGTTAATTAATAATGAGAAATTTCATTGCATATTGACATAAAGCTATAACGTAGAATATTAAAAGAAAAAAATCCATTAATTTTTCACAATTTCTTCTCAGTTCCTGTGAAGTTTATCCTGCTGAATACATCAGAGAACAAGTTAGTTTTGTATATTGGGTCAATTGTCTTTAGGATGTTTTGCACTGTTCTGAACTCCAACATATCTAGTTTTTTGCATTAGAACTCTTCTTCCTCTTTTTTTATGACTTATTAGAGTCTTAATCATAAAATAAAATCCAGCAAGGTTGAAAGATAACATAAAGAAGAGAAATCTTTTATGATGAGACAGAGTACCCAGATAACTTCTATAAGTAGCACCCATGAACCAAGCACTAGAACTTACAGATCTACAACTAGGAGAAAGAACCACAAATAGAACTGTAAGGGTTAAACATAGGAAATATTCACAGTAAATAAAGACTTGTTAAAGGATAAAATTCTAGCAGATCAAATTTGTGTGGTTAAAAAGATGTAGATAGAGAAAATCATAGTAGAGTAACAAAAAAAAAAAGAAAAAAAATCCTTGCCTTCACTTTAAAGAAGTCTATCAACTCAATCTGGAAATGAAGTTCCTCAAGCTTGGGAAAGCTCTCTTGAACTGCAACTGGACAATCAACCTCGCCATAGTGTAGTTCAGGTTTCATCTTGAACTAAAAACAAGCATCAAAAAATAAACAAAAGGTTATAAGAAATAACCAAGTAATATATCAAACTAATCAGAACAAATTCATAAAACATCTGAACTTTCTAGGTAAAACTTGACTAGATTAACTAAATCTTCTTTGCATACCAACAGAAAGTTCAGTACCGTGGCTCCCAAAGGTTTGGTGTGTTCCAGAACATGAGAAAATAGTCTCTTCAAATTTATGTGAGCTTTTGTGTTTTAGAACAATGAATTGCTGGTTCCATTACTAGTAACACCCTGACAAGACATTCAAAACTACCATGGTGTGTTCTGAAACCAAATGAAAACACACTAAAGTACCAAACACCCCCCCCCCAAACTGTTCAGTCTGTATGGTACTGATTCACCACGAAATGTAAGAGATTTTATGAAACTATATAATTATAAATATAATATTATTTTTTGTAAGTAAGATAAAATATACTAAAAGAAAAAGAAGGAATACGAAGGTGACAAGATATCAAGCAAAAGATATTCATCCTATTGTATACAGATGGATACATATACTTTGATTGTACAACTTCCAACTAATATGTAACCGGTCAGGAAACTTCGGAAACAGTACCATTGCTACTTCACCCTTCAACATGGTGGGAATTCCTTCTAACAATCCCAGAATCATCTTGCTTTTCCCAAGAACATGCCTTGTTGGAATACCCTTGCCTGCCACATAAGTTAATCATTCAAACAATCCTCTTTTTGGTAAGCATTGAACAATCCTTGAGTTAAGTTATGTAAATGACAACAATGTTCAAATATATTGAATAAATACATGCACAACTAAATACGCATAGATATGCATATAGACACATATAATACACCACATGTTGTAAGGAATATGTCTTGTACTTCCAGGCATAAGCCTTAAATTGAGCCTTGAGGCCCATTTTCTTTAATGTTCACTAACTTAGGCATTGCAAGACCACATTGGCCTGATCATTGTATGGCGTGGGACCCACAAAGGTCTCACACAAGCATACATGGGTTCATCCCCTCTCTTTTAAGAGATAGGTTGAATTCACTACACAAGGGTAGTGAACCCCTGAGCCAAGCACATTGGGCTCAGTTTGGGCCCAATACTTATGTTTAAGTAATCCTTGGGTTTAGCCACCCTATGAAGCCCAAGGATGATGAACTCATGTGAGATTAAGCCCATCAGGTATTCCAGCCCTGTAATGGTCTTTTGCCTTAACCTCTTAGCCCATTGATTCCTACCCAATGGGTTCTCTGGGGGGGAGGGGAGTTGCATTTCTGCTCTTTCTAAAGTTTAAGAAAGTTACATTACCTTTACTCCAGGAAAAAAAAAATCCCAAACATTTCCAAGTTCATAATTCCACTCCAAAGTCGTTTTTGCTGAGGCCTTTAATTCTAGAAGTATTAGAACCCGTCCAATTATCTTCAAACAGATTAATGCCCCTAATTCTTCATTGGTTTTCAATTTCCCCTCAAAAATTTATCTATTTCTTTGAGATTAAGCCCATCAGGTATTCCAGCCCTGTAATGGTCTTTTTCCTTAACCTCTTAGCCCACTGATTCCTACCCAATGGGTTCTCTGGGGGGGGGAGGGGAGTTGCATTTCTGCTCTTTCTAAAGTTTAAGAAAGTTACATTACCTTTACTCAGGAAAAAAAAAATCTCAAACATTTCCAAGTTCATAATTCCGCTCCAAAGTCGTTTTTGCTGAGGCCTTTAATTCTAGAAGTATTAGAACCTGTCCAATTATCTTCAAACTGATTAATGCCCCTAATTCTTCATTGGTTTTCAATTTCCCCTCAAAACTTTGTCTATTTCTTTCCTTTAGAACCTCCCAGCACACAGCAAAGGAGATGCAACTCCAAATAATTTTTGCCTTGGTATTCCCAAGCACTCTTGGTTAGCTTCCAAAGATCTCAGCAAAACCATTGGGTGACCACCCAGGCATGTTGAAAAGTTGAAGTAAACCCAAATTCCTCTTACAAAGTGGCATTAGAAGAACACTGCATTGGAATAACAAGTGTAGAATATTCTCCTCCATACATAACACACCTGTTTGGGAACTGAATGAAGGCCTATTTTTTCAACTTATCTTGAGTGAGAATGCGGCCCATTGAAACCATCCAAGTAAATGCCCCCACTCTTGGAGAAACCGGTTTCCCCTAAACACCTTTATTGCATCAAGCTCCACCTAATTCCTAAGCAAAGCATATAAAGAGATTTGACTGTGACCCTTCCATTCTTGCATTCCTTCCACCATTTCAAATCTAACACCAAGGGATCAACCACCACCTCTTGCAATTTCGGCAGCATCCCCACACACTCCACCTCCCAATCCCAAACCACTGAGCCATTTCTATCTTTGTAGCATTGAGATGTTGTCACCCCCTTCTTGCTTAAATTGTAAAGCCTTGGGCACAGTTCACATAATTTCCAACTCCAAGCCATTCATCTTCCCAAAATTGTACACCAGAACCATTCCCCACTCTCCAAGAAAAAAAAGGTTGCATCAAAGAGTTAAAACTCATAATCCCCTTCCACACACTTACCCCATAGGATGATCTTACCTCCCTCACATCCAACCCAAAATTTACCACCCCATACTTAGAAGCTACCACCCTTTCTCCAAAGTGCTTCCCTCTTCCTCCCAAACTTCCAAACCCATTTCCCCAACAAGGCTTTATTGAAAATCCCCACTCTTCTCACTCCCAAACCGCCATATTTTTTTAGATCTACATACCAAACCCCATTTAACCAAATAAATTTTCTTTTTTTTTTCTACTTTTACATTCCATAAGATATCCCTTTGTAATTATTCTATACCTTCCAAGACCAAAGCTGGAGCCTTTAGGAGAGACAATAAGTCAGCAGATTTGAGAGAACACTTTTTTGTCAGGGTGATTTCTCCACCAAAAGACAAATACTTGCCTATCTCTGCTCAGTTCGGTATAAGACAGGTTGCCAAGTGGAGGGAGACACTGCCCTAGCCCCATTGGGCAGAACAAGGTAGGAGAAAGGGAAATCTCCTATTAGAGAAACCAAAGCACCAGCACACTCCAAAACTGATTGCTGAATATCCCCAACACCTATCATCACACTTTTGCTGAGATTAATTTTCAAGCCCGAAAGCAATTGAAAACATTTAAGAATACCCCTCAAATCAAAATCTTAGTAGGGGATGACCAAGTAATATTTACCACCTTCTTTTCAGAAGAGCTTATTGCTACCTCACCCCAATTTCTCCAAATATCCTCAGAAGAAACATGTGCAGAGGCATCCATTGTTCTTATCCGATGTATTGCTCTATTCATAACACACTCCCTCATTGCCTCCCAACTTCTTTCCTTCTCAAGAAAAATTCTTGCATTTCTTCCTTCCCACATGGTCCACAATAAAGCCACCCTTGTGCACTTGCACAAAATTCTTCCCCTCTTCTTGGGCCTAGAGAAGGTTAATGGATCAAATAATTTCTCCACCTCCAAAGGCAAAATACACCTGCACCCAAACAAGGACAAAAAGTATTCCAAAATACCAGCAACATATGAACAAGAGATTAGTAGGTGGTATCAACTCTCACCATTAGCCTTATAGAGGATGAACCAATTTTGGGGAATACAAAGAAAAGGCCTGTTTTGCAAATTAGCCATACTATTAACCTTCCATGATCGGCTTCCCAACAAAACGCCTTAATTTTAGGGGCTGATACTAAATTTCTTTATAAGGAAAAGACAAGGGGCTACCAGAGGAATAAAGGGACTTGAAAAAAGAAGCACAAGAGAAATGACCTTTGGAGAAAGGAGTCCACAAAGCCTTTCAGGCCTAGAGGGGTCGAGACAAACATTATCAAGGATTTGCCAAAGCTCAATAACAAAATCAAACTCATCTTCCCTTACCCCTCTTCTAAAACCAAAATCCCAATTCAAGTCCAAAGGAAGCAATGGAGAGGTGAGAAAATTTAAGATAAGTTTCTTTTTATATATGGAAAGTGAGTATAAAGCCAGAAAGAGATCCTTGAAAGGAGAAGCTCCCACCCAAATATCCTCCCAAAATAGAACAGTCTAAACAAACATCATACCTGACAAAATTGAGAAAAAGAGGAAGGATACCATGAATTTCTTTCTGTGGTGACGCCATAGTTGTCCAAGGAGAAAGCCCTACATCCTAACCATTAGCCATCGATCCATGAATACTGGCCGTCTCCACAACCACTTCCTTACAAAGCTGTTTTTTTTAATCAATAAAGCTGTTTTCCTCTTCCCGACATTACCTAGTCCTAACCCTCCCAACTCCTTGCTCCTACACACTACCTAGTCCTAAGAGCTATGAACTTTTTCATACATTACATGTGTTCTATTTGAACCATGGTTTGATCATCTTTGAGAATGCTTTTCCATCACAGCTCGCCTTCTAGTCCATCTTTCTTCTTTAAAAATCCTATTTGTTCTCTTTCTTTCTTTTCTTTATTAGTCAATAATAGATCAGAAAAAAAATAAAAATAAAAGTGAAAGAAGATAAGGTACAATATCTCAATACATTTCCTCAAGGAAGAAGAGTTAAAACTAAGATCTCGACCACCAAAATCACATAAAGTGTGCATTATTGAACAAGGGCAGGCCCTCAATACAAGGTAACCCAATTTACTCCTTCCCTTGCAAGAAAGTTTACTAGATCGGTAGGTCATCTTGTAACCAATCTAACCAGGGTGTTAGATCGTGAGAATAGAGGTATCAGTCCCTAATTAAACCGCAGAATATCCCAGACCTTTCCTTTTTCACCCTACATCCACTCAAGTATCACTTGAAAAACCCCTTCCACCTCCAAATTAGTAGCCTAACAAGAACTCAACTGCAACTCTTGAACAAGTGACATCAGTTAAGCTTTGATGGAATCTCCATCTCTTATTAGGCCTGAATAAACCATCAATACTCCAACATGATTTCTAAAGATCCATCCCACTAATTTTCCTGGATTCCCAATGCAGCAACCATCAGAGTGAAGGCTATTGCTTTTATAGTTGGGGAGAGAGCCACATTAGCCCATCTAATCTTTGCATTTCTTCATTTCCTTTTTAACTCTGTCAGTGGCTTATCTTACACTGCCAGTCCCAAACCCAGATAAAAAGGAGGGTTGTGTCAGCTTGGCAGCCAGCACTAAAACTTTTGCCAAACCCTCATGCATATGGATCACATCTTAATGTGTATTTATAACAATTCAATACAATTAACTTATTGGAGGAGATCTATCCCTCAAGCTGTGTAGTAAACTTTCCAGTTCTACCAAAAAAATACAATTAACTTATTACATAATATAATATAATACATAATTTAGATTACAAGGTCATTGCCTAGACAACTAGGGTCAAGAAGTTTAGATAACCCTATTTCTTTTCTAATTGTCCATTCCCTCTTTACTCCTTTAATTAGTTGATCCCTTAACTTTTCTTCTGCATGTACCCTCTACCTTAGTTTCTTCCTATTTAGATAACTCTAGTTCTTTTAGCTTTTCGGTATTGAAGGATCATACACTCTCTGGTTTGTCCTATATCGTTAAAAGACATTTTAAATGATGCAGATGGTTACATCGAAAGCTCCAAAATCTGTAAAGGAAACCCATGAAGTATCATGTGTTCACTGCTTAATTCATATTTGTCATTTGACTCATTTTCTTATTCTTCAAGAAAATCAACAGCAGAAGAATTAATAAATAAAACAAATCTTTTTTTTTTGTAAAAGGTAAGGTAATTTATTCATTCAAAGAAACATTACACTAGAGCCCAGGCCATTAAAAGATGCCTAGGACCACCTCAGATTACACTCTCATCCAAGACTGAGAACAAAACAACAGACACAAATTCTGATGTTTAAATTCCTCCTTCACCGGCACCCAAGACAATAACTTGCCCACAGCTTTCTGCACTATTTCATTTGGACTTTTAGTTTTACCATGGAAAATTCTGTTATTTCTCTCAGTCCAAATAGCCCAAAGTACAGCTGCCGGAATGGTGTTCCAAACCAATTTTCCTTTCTTGCTGAGACCCTCAATTCTCCAACAGTTCAGCAGCTCCTTTACTGAATTTGGCATTACCCAACTAATTTCCGAGGCCTTAAGGAAATGCCCCCAGACATAAGAAGAAATTGGGCAATGGATACACAAGTGCTCAGTAGGTTCTGCAGGAGTACCACACAAGCCACACGAAGTATCCTGAATCTGAATGCCACGTCTCTCCAGATTAACTCTGGTCAGACACTTGTCTAGAACCATTGTCCAAACCAGAAAATTTACCTTAGAGGGACTAGTTGATTTCCAAATATGCCTGGCGGGACTGACCAACTTAAGAAACATAGATTTAACAGAGAAATAGCCATCTGCTTTCCATTTCCAGCTCCATTCATCCTCCAGATTTAAATCAATCATCTGATTTTGAAGCAAACCCAACAGAGCCGCATACTCTTCTACCTCCCAATCAAAGAGACTCCTCCTACAAAGCGGATTCCAAATAATGGAATCACCTGATACATTAAAATTCTCAGCTATAGAAGAATCCTGATTTACAGAGATTTGGTACAGAAGAGGGAAAGCTTCTTTCAAACACATCTCTGAGCACCAAGAGTCCTTCCAAAATTTAATTCTTTCCCCATTTCCCACCTTAAATTTGATCCCTTCCACAAAAATAGGAAGGATCTTCAAAATGGCTACCCAAATAGACCTTACCCCTCTTGAATGAGGGCACTTGGATCTCCAATCACCCCATTCCACCCCATATTTTTCCACAATAAGATTTCTCCACCATGCATTTCTTTCAATAGCAAACCTCCATAATCATTTACTAAGAAGGGCAGAATTAAATTTCTTCAAATTCCTTATTCCCAGCCCACCAACTTCCTTTGGGAGACAAACTTGCTCCCAATTTACAGTGTGGATCTTCTTTTCCTTCTCCCATCCCCTCCATAAGAAGTTCCTCTGGATTTGCTCCAATCTATTTGCTATTTTGATTGGAATGGGGAATAGGGAGAGGCAATAGGTAGGAAGATTAGAAAGAGTGCTCTTAATCAGTGTCACTCTGCCCCCAAAAGAGAGATGTTTAGCTTTCCAAAAAGCCAATTTTCTCTCCATTCTCTCAATAACTGGAATCCAAGATCTTCAAGAAAATAACGCGAAAAACCATAGTCTGATGAATTTGTTTTTTAAGGGTATTCAGTGCAAACTTTAAAGAAAAGAGTCAACTTACCTCCATATTCTGATTTTGTGGATTCAACAATAACTCCATCTAGTGTCCGTATTGTGCAATGAAATATAACCTGCAAAAAGCAATTTCCAATTTCAGAATTGCTAATCTGTGTTCTCCCTCCCTCTGGAATATAAAGAATCATGGGATGTGGATGGACACTTAAATATAACACATTTTAACAGGAAGGCTCTCTTTATTAGCTTTTTAACTAAGGAGTTTAAGCCAAAAATGTGGTAGTACTCAAACTGCCAAATAAGTTACTACACTTAGTTCATCCCTAAGAATCACATTTTGCTTTTTGAATGGGCAACCATCGTCTCAGAGTGTAACATTCAGGTTTTCTTACAGCAATTTCACCATGTTAATGCAAGACTAATTAGAATTCACGGTTTTGTATTAGAGTGCTATTATAGTTCTAACAATTACAGGAAGTCAGTGAATTGGAATCATGCTACATTTACTGTCATTAAGGAAAATCTCTGATTGAATCAAGGAAAACACCATTGGTTTTGCTATCTTAATTGCCCATTCTCTTTGATGGGAGCATCCACATACACCTGATAGACACAAGTGATAATTCAACTGGAAATGATTGAAGAATAGACCTGATCACCATCTGCAGGCATCGCAGTACCCCCTCCAGGCCTCATTTCAGCCTTCATAAGACTTCCGGGTACAATTTTCTTTCTCCTGATTATTAGAAACAAAAATAAATAAACAAAATTCCAGAAAAAAGAATCCATTTCTTTGTTTCTTAAGTCAAATAAAAAAAAAATCGAATCAATCATGTCCACATTCAAATTTCCGATAAAATTTGCAAAATTCAAATATAATCACCTCTTTTCATCCTCGCTAGGAGGTTTCTTCTTTGGGGGTACATAATCCTGTTCTGCATCATAACCAACCGTCATTTCACCAGCAACCGATTTACACCTCAGAGCCTGAACTGAATGAAGAACCGATGTTAAGACTGTGAAGAGAATCCACTAAAGAAAAATAAAAAGGATATACGTGTCAACCACATAAAACCCTAGAAAATCAACGATGGAGCTGATCAGTACCTGGATCTTGTTCGTCTACGGCGTTCGGACATGGAACCGATCCTAATGAACTAGATTTTGTTGGCCGTTTGATAACGGCTAAAGTGGCTATAGTGAATGACTATTGCTTCGTGTCTTTTAGTGGATCAAATAATCGAAATAATGAAATAAGCGAGGGTATAGTGGTCAACCTAGCTTCAACTACGAAGATCACTGACTCGGAGCCTCCATTGTTAAGAACTTGTTCAGTCAATTCAGTTTGGCAACTTCAACTGTTAGCGAACACGGTCAACAGCAGCCTCCTCGTCTGCTCCGCCTTGGGGCCAAGTGGGACCGAACAGGTTATAAACAGTGCACAGGAATATATGCTCCACGACCTCCGTCTCATACAGAGGTGCAAATGGGGGCCGGTTAGGTGGGGTTAAAATCAACCCTAACCCTAACTCAATTAGAAGGTTTTGGGTTGGGATCAGGATTGATCCAACTTTTCTACTTCCTTTTGCCAAATGTGTATTTGGTAACTCAAACAGTTGAGATCAATTCAAATTTAGCACGGTGTAAAAGGACAGTTGAGAACAATGTCAGGTTTAATCTATTCTATTTATTATATTATATTATATATATAAAGCAAAGTGGTTCACATGAGAGGGCCTCTCTTTCCTTCGAACCCTTTTCTTAATTTTCTGTTTTTTTTATTTTAAATTTTATTTTGAAGGGATAGGGATAGGGGTGGTCTCCCATTTTGCCAAATGGCAGCCCTTTAATATATATATATATATGCTATCAATTTCATGTCGATGGTTCGACCATCTGATTTGAATGAATGGTCCATTCTCACAACAAAAAATTATAAGCAAAAAATTACGGAATCATTATGGCCATCGATTTTTGGATTGACGGTTCGATCGTCTGGTTAAAACGGACGACTCGTTCTGACAACAAAAATTACAGGGAAAAAGTTGAGTGTGTGAAGTCTATTAAGCAGTATCATACGTATTATGTCATTCGAGTGCATGACTCAGACAACCCAAAAACGGAATCGTTATGGCTATCGGTTTTTGGATCGATGGTTCGACTGACCAGTTTGAACGGACAGCCCGTTCTGACAACAAAAACTAAAAAAATAAAAAAAAAATAGCCAAAAACCATTGAATGGGTCAACAGGTTGACGGTTCGACCACTAGAGTCAATGGGTCATTGACCGATTCAACGATTTTTGGCCAAGGACTGGGATTGGGGTAAAACATAATTGGTTGCCTAGATGATTGCCAATTAAAAAAAAAAAATGGTGGTTCGACCGTCTGGTTTGAATGGATGGCCCATTATGACAACAAAAATTACAAGCAAAAAATTAAGTGTGTGAGGTCCATTAAGTAGTATCAACGTGTTATGTCATTCGAGTGTGTGACTCATACAGTCCAAAAATAGAACCATTTTGGCCACCGGTTTTCAGGTTGATGGTTTGATCATCCGATTCGAATAGACAGCTCGTTCTAACAACAAAAAAAAATCAAAATGGCCAAAAAACCATTGAATGGGTCAACGGATCAACAGTTCAACAACTTAGGTGAGTGGGTCATTGACCAATTCAGTGGTTTTTGGCCAAGGACCGAGATTGGGATAAAACGAAACCGGTTGCCTAGACAGTTCCTGATGTAACCGTTTATGGTCACGTACCAATTTTTTGTGATGTATCAATTTTTGGGCTAAGTACCTCGTCATTTGACCTGCTCCCAGGTGGCCTGTGACTCAGAGGATGATAGAGCTCCCTAGTGGCGAACTGCCTGCTGATGAGCTACTTGGTGAAGAACTCCCTAGTGGTGAGCTACTTGGTGACGAGCTCCCTGGTAAAGAGCTACTTGGTGACGAGCTCCCCAGTGGAGAGCTACCTGGTGATGAGCTCCCTGGTGGAGAGCTACCTGATGACGAGCTCCCTGGTGGAGAGCTACTTGGTGACGAGCTCCCTGGTGGAGAGCTACCTGGTGGCGAGCTCCCTGGTAGAGAGCTACTTGGTGACAAGCTCCCTGGTGGAGAGCTACTTGGTGACAAGCTCCCTGGTGGAGAGCTACTTGGTGACGAGCTCCCTGGTGGTGAACTACCTTGGTGGACTCGTCATTTACCTGCTCCTAGGCGGCCTGTAACTCAGAGGATGGTGGAGCTCCCTGGTGTAGCGCAACCCATCTGCCCTCTGCATGAGGTGATCTCCTCTCCTTTGTAGGCGGCGGGAGCTGAGGGACCTGCGAGAACTCCATCTTTTCCTCCTCTTTGTAGACGGCGAGAGCTGAGGAACCTGCGAGAACTGAACCAGGGGGCCCGGGGGTATTTACCCGGCAGGGACTCTCCGATGCCTAAGTTACCACTCTGATTGTCGAGAGCTTGAAGATGATATTAGAGGAATGAGAGAGCTAGAGAGTAGGGATTACCTCCATTTTTTCATTCTCTCCCCCTTGTCTTTGGGGGTCGGAGTCCTTATATAGTCGTGTCCTGTCAAATCAGGCGTAACAGCCTCTATCAAGTCAGGCGTAACCGCCTCTGTCTCTCTGCCGCAACCGTTACTGCCAGAGCTGAAGTGGCGGGTGCAGGCAGCTACTACAGAGTACGGCTCTGCCAGTTAAGGGGCAGCTCTCAGGACTGGCAGGCACGGCGCCGCCTAGCGAGAGACGTGGGCACAGGTCTCCGGATCTGTCAGGTACGATTATCAGGCATGAGATCTTCCTATGATACGCCGAGTTGCCCCTAAGTGTCGAGCTACCTGTAAGTGCCGAGTTGCCCCTAAGTGGCGAGCTCTTCGTAAGACGCTAGGCTGCCTGCGAAGTGGCCAGCTGCTTGGGGCTAGCTGCCTATGCTGAGCTACCTATAAGTGCCGAGCTGCCTCTAAGTGACGAGCTCTTTGTAAGACGCCAGGCTGCCTGCGGAGTGGCCAGCTGCCTGTGGCTTGCTGCCTATGCCGAGCTGCCCCTAGCTATACCAAGCTCCCCAAGCTATGCCGAGTTTCTTGTGGCAAGCTCTGCCGAGCTGTCTGTGGCGAGCCATGCTGAGCTGTCTGTAAGTGGCAAGCTGTGGCAAGCTCTGCCGAGCTGCCCGAGCTTCCCGAGCTACCTAGTTAACAAGAGGCTACACTTGGTTTGCATGAGGTGCCAGGTGTCACAATTTCACTGGAGGGCCAAATCCGCCCTCATCATTTGCCCCCCACTCCCGAGCTGAGAGTAACTCAGCGAAGGGAGTAGATTTCTTCTTTTGGCCCGTAAGTCGACGAGCTAGTAAATGCTGATCCAATTCCTTAGGCTTTGGGAG